GAAACAAAAACACAATTTCTCCTTTTTTATTAACCAGAACATGTGGATGCTGAACCCTAGCTACCACTCTGGGGATTCATAAAGAGTTTAGATCTATTGTCTCACCCTAAATTTTCTTTAGCTTTCCATAATGAGTATTTGAACAGGGTTTTCACTGTTAAAATATTACAGGAACTGTCCAGTCATCAAAAATTCTTTCAATAATGCACACAGTATGAAACTCTCCACTGTGTCTTTTCCACTGAAATCATTACCTGAAACAGATGCAGAGCGGTCACTGTCACATGTCCCTTGGTGTTTGAGGGTTCCAACAATATTACTGCACCGGTATAATTTAATTAGCTTCTGCTGGGACAAAAGAGAAATAAAAAATAGGCTCACTCTCAGCGCCATGCTCTATTGAATCATCATTTTAATAAATCTGGAAGAGCACCTAGGTAGTTAATAGCACCTTTTTTTTTATTTTTCACACCTTTTCTTATTTTTTTATGAAGCTCTACCTTTGGTCTGAATGCCCACCCACATGAGCAGTGATAGAGTGATACAGAGATGGTGATATATAAAAATAATAACAGATACACAATGACATATACAAATACACAACAAACAATAACAGGCACACAATGGCATTCATTTCAGTATCAGCACATGTTTAAGTATTGTACTGAGTACTGTATTATATTACTGTGTTTGCCACAGGACAAAAGAAAAGCTATATCAAAATGGTCACACTTTTTTTAAAAATCAGTTTAAGTCTTGCTTTCATCCATTACACAGGAAGTGCAAGTACTGTTGCTATGGTTACTTGCAGTTTAAAGTGAACCCATGTAACTTTCTGAACAGCAGTTACAGTATAGAACAGGACTAAATTCCGTTACACATCACTAGCTACTCAATGTTATTTAACTTATTATTACATAATAACTATAAAACCCTACTAGTCATGGAGAAAATTATATTTTTGTCTTCTTTCTTCCCTGTGTTGGAAAGCCTGGGTGTTAATTTTTTTGCTGTTTAATTCATCAGTTTTGTTGTGTGAATCACACACTGTACTGTCCTTTTCAAGTCATGCTACATTACTCTGTCATCTTTTTTTATTGCCTTCCTCTAACCCGCTCTTTGTTCCTTCTACACACTCTTCCTTTGCCTCTTCCTTGATGGGTTGTCTTGTATTTTCTCCCTCTATGTCTCACTTTCTTTATCTCTGTGATTTATATGTCCGTGATGTGCTTTTCCCCTGCTACCTTGGTGAGTACTCAACCACACACGGGCACACGCTGAGCTGGTGATAACTAAAACAGCCAGACTTCACTGTGAATTATAATCACCTTCAATCTGTGTCTCTGAATCCCTGCCCAGTTCTTGTGTGTGTGTGTGTGTGTGTGTGTGTGTGTGTGTATGTCATGAAGCTCTGCTCTGCCTCACCTAGTCATGTGTGGGTATCTTTCATGAGTGTAAGTGATGGAGCAGTGAATAGTTTGTTCCCTGAAGGGTTATATATGAGTGTGTGTGTGCGTGTGTGTGTGTGTGTCAGACACACCTGCTTATTATTCTCTTGGTCCCCTGGTGTTTGACCCATTGTTCTTAACTGCCGAGGTTTCATGTGAACTGGAATATAATTCAATTTCCACTAGTGCTGAAATACAGCAAACACACATATACACACACACACACACACACCTTTAGCATACAACCGTCAAGGTGAGTGGTCCATCACTGGCCTTCACATAAGATATTCAAGTGCACTATATCACTGTGACATTGTCAGTGGCCAAGTGTGTGTGTGTGCTGGGATACCTGGTGGTGTAGAAGTCACTGAGGTAGCATGGGAGAATACACTCCAGCAGGCGAGGGAGAGCGAGAGAGAGGGGACACCCAGGGGAAAACTTTGTCTAAAGTTCTCACATGAAATCTACTATAAAAACAAACATTCTTGTGAGCAAAGTTAAGCAAATAACAAAAGTTTAACACAGGTTTTTCCAAATAGACCTAACAGTGTCAAATCCAAAAAGAAGAGAGGAATTATACATACACACACACACACACGCACATGCGTACACACACAGAGGAATTAGCAGAATTGATTTGTCAGCATCTTCCTCTTCTTTCTCTCAGCTTATGTTTGTTGTTGGTTTTTTTTAGTGGTTGTTTGTTTACCCTGGTGTCTTTTGTTCAACACTTGTTAATGATGTCACTTTCTTTATGTGCAAATAAAATGTAAATAAAGCATGCAGGTATAGTAGCTCCTGAACACGCTGTTGTCTTGCAATTGTAATTTTGTGATTCAAAATATGCTCATACTAATTATACACTTGCCATGTAAGGATTGTTACTTTTTTTCTTTTAATGCATCTATCAGGTCTTGGATTTGATGCAGCCCTTGGAGATTTGACTTTGTATCAACCTTGTTTCACTATTCTATATCCCCTTTATGTATTTTGCTGATTTTCATCCAGTCAACATTTCTGAGGATAACTGCTGTGAGCTGTATTGATGTTTAAGAAAAACAGATTAAAGCTGTACCAACATCCCGAGTTGATGTGCTTAGTGAACATCTCAGGCAGCAGAAACCAGAGGGACAAGGGAAGGAAGAGCAGGAACCTTCATGATAGGAAAACCTTTGCACAGTATGTACCACCGTCAAATAGAAGACATGGCTAATATCGAAAAATCCTACCAGTGGCTGGACAAAGCTGGACTGAAAGACAGCACAGAGGCCCTAATCCTGGCAGCACAAGAACAAGCTCTAAGTACAAGATCAATAGAGACCAGGGTCTACCATACCAGACAGGACCCCAGGTGCAGGCTGTGCAGATCCCAGGAGCAACATCTGAGATCTCTGTCCAGAGGAGTGCAGTGCTAGGAACAGCTAAGATACTGCACAGGACCCTCAAGCTCCCAGGCCTCTGGTAGAGGGCAGGTGCTTGAAGGAAGGAATACAAGATCGCCCCAAGGTGGGGGGCGAGTGGGGAATTTTTTATATACACACACACACACACACACACACACATATATATATATACACATACATACACACACACACACAGTTCTAATGGCCAACCAACCGGACACAGTAGTGGTGGACAAACAGAAGAAGAAGGCTGTAGTGATAGATGTAGCAATCCCAAACAATAGCAACATCAAGAAGAAGGAACATGAGAAGCTTGAGAAATACCAAGGGCTGAAAGAAGAGCTAGAAAAGATGTGGAAGGTGAAGACACAAGTGGTCCCCGTGGTAATTGGAACATTGGGGGCTGTGACTCCCAAATTGGGATCTGAACGTAACAACTTGAGAGCTTATCTTTTCAGGGATGTGGGAACAAA